GGGGAGGGCCGGGTGTGCGGGAGAGATGGGCGGCGCAGGACAAGCCCCGGGCGCCTCTGCGGACGATGCCTCCCGGGGGCAGCTTCGCCTGCCCTGGGTGGGAACGTCCCAGCCCTCGAGCTCCGAGATCACCCTCAGAAAAGACCAGGGCGCAATCTGCTACCCTATTTTGATTAGGCTTCACACTTAAAAAAATTTTACTTGGCCAACGTTGAATCGTTGGGAAAATTGAAAGGAAAGTCTTGGTTTCCAACGAGCCCTCGCAGCTTCGAGCGAGCTGGAGCGGAGCAGCTCTGCTCCCGGTCCCCCGAGGTCTGATTTTGCAAATGCTGGGCCTCGAATTGCCTCGGAGGTTCCAGTTCCCGAGGCTTCCCGGGAGCGCCCGGCCCGGCCCAGGGTTGCCGCCCAGCGCGCAGCTCGCGGTCCCGTGAAACTCGTTAGAAATGCAGATTCTTTAGCTCCACCACTGAGTGTCCAGCTCGGGGAGCCGGGCCCCACGAACAGGGTGCAGACGAGCCCTGCAGGTGATCCTGAGGCTCCCCACCGAGTACGAGAACCTCTGACCCGGGTCAAGCTGACCTTTGCGGGCCTTGCCAGGCGGGCCCCACTCCTCTATTCCGCTCTCTGCCCTGCCCCCTCCTTTCCTTTCCCACCAGAGTTGGGGGGGGGGGTCACACTTGTGGCCTAGGACAGCTAACTCACCCAGCACGCGCTGGCTCTCACTCATCTGACTTTCCCCAGGCGTCTCTCAAGTCCTTGGACACCTGCTGAGGGTCCCCAGGGGAACAAGGCGCCACTCCTCCCTTCAAGGAGTGGGGTCTGGGATGTAAGGGGAAGAGAGAGGGAGAGAAAGCCTCTTATGGCCAGTTGTTTGTTTGTTTATTATTAGAGTCTAATACTAGACTTGCTCTGCTTTCAGAAAATGCCCGTTAGGACCCAACAGAAGCATGGCATTTCATCTGACAGCTTCTAACCTTTGGGGACTCTCCAAGACTCTCTCCCTGCCGGGGCTTTCTATTTGTCTGACATTCTAGGGATTCTGTGTGTCTGCTGCACACACTTCCACACACACACCTTGACACACACTGACCACACCCTCCCCCCCTCCCTGTACTAGGTCAGGGTGTGTGGCTGGGGCCGGGGGAGTGGGTGAGGGAGTGTCACAATTCGAAGGAACCTGTTTGGCCTGGGGCTCAAAGTCTGTGTGCAGTTGGATTTTCCTGAAGCTGAAGCTGCTCGGGGCACTCGTAGGACAGTGGAAACTCATAAGCCCTGTTGTGCTCCTTGACACCGCGGGGCAGGGCTCCCAACCCTCCCATCTAGCATCCAGCTGCCCTGAACTGCCCCCTTCCCGAGGTCAGCTGTACCCCAGGAGGTCCTTCCAGTTTATCACTTTAAGATTGGGCCAAATACCCTTACCTTTTGCTTCGGATTAAAAGAATAGCCTATTTTGACCCCTCCCAGAGTATATAAAAATCCGGTTGAAATTCACACTTTCTAGTTCTCTTGTGCCAAATCTGTCTCCCTTAAGCTTCCACTTCGCACTTTCTCTCCAGAGTCTGGACTTCAACTCCCGTCCTGAGCCCTGGGAAGAGCTGCCTCCTCTGGACCTCAAGGTTTCCATCCGAGATTTTCTGGCTGTGGGCAGTGAGAACAGGCGAGGCCTTTCACCTCCCAGGCAGTGGTGAGTCTCTCAAAAATCCGGTCTAACTAGAAGCCTCTTGTCTAGTTTCGAATTCAGAGGAAAAGGTTTCATTTTAGTGAGCCAGTGCAGGGAAGCCACTGAAAATGCACACAGAAATGAATTTCGTATTGACCAGAGTCGTAAATTGTATAAAAGTACTCAGCTCCACTTTGCCAAAGACTTGCTAGTTTAATATGACCCTTTCTTGTGGGGATTTTCAAAATATAAAATGTGTAATGGTCAGGAACATGATAATCTTTTTACAACCTGTGATCATATTTCTTAACAGGATTTTGCTTTCCAGTGCAGATGGTTTGACATAACATTGAAAGCAGTCAGCACTTAGTTAGGAAATGCCAAGGCCAATATTTGAATGCAGATACAAGTTTTAACAAAGGAAAGTGTATATCTCTGTAGCTGTTTGCCTGTGAATTTTCCCCAGAGGATTAATACATTATTCTTGAATCTAATCCAAGTCAGCGAGCTCTCTAAAAAGTCTGTAATGTGCCAATTCATAAGGCACATAGAATTCCTTGTCACCAAATATTTTTGAGTTGTCTACCATGAACCAGGGACTAGGCAAACGTGTTCTTGTTTGAGACCCTGAACTTTCATCCTGACTTGGGGGCGGGGCAAGGGCTAGGAAGGTAGGACTTTGTAAGGTTGTTTTTCCTCTGGTTTGGTTAAATTGTTGAAGTATTTGTACTTAATAGCAATCTTTAAAACATTTATTGAACTCTCTGTTACATTTTTGGTCATTTTTACAAGTCAAGGAGAGAAAGTCAGTGTTTGAGCCAACTCATTTATTGGAAAATGAATGCCAGCACAGGCTTAACGTTTGGCTTTCCAACTGGAAGACCTCAATATCATGACAGCATTTTGCAATAATGTTATTTCCAGCATGCCAGGTGATAATTTAGCTGTAGATTTTATGACTGGTGATCATAGCTCACTCAAGCCTCATTTCATCTCTTGACTCTGTAGGGAGCCACAGAAGGAAAAAAAAAAAACCCAAACACATATGAAAACACCCTCTTCCTCTGGCACCCTTGCTGGAGGGATGGGTAAAGGAAGTGGCAGACATCTAGGGTGGCCCCATCCTCTTTGTTCCTTGGAAGAACTTGGAGCGGGACCAACTCAGATCCAGTTGGCTTCAGAGAGTCCAGGTCTTACAAGGAGTGATGTGCTCCATTATCTTTGCCTCTAAGCCCAAAACACAAACAACTTCAGTGGACCTGGACTTTTACCCCATGAACTGTGTCTTAATGCCTGGTCACTGTGCATGCTGAGGCCACATTCTCCATTTCGCAGGGCCTAACCCCTTTTCCCACATTCCCTCCCTCTATACCCTTCCCGGCCATGCCTGGCCAGTGGGCCTGCCTCCAGGAATCAGACTGGGTGGATGCTATGATGTCAGGACACCAGGCAGCAGCACATCTAAAATGTGCTAGACCACAGTTGCCTTTTTCTTTCCCTGGAAAAGTACACAAAGTGCAAGTTGTCTCCCAGGCTGTGAGGCGCACGTCCAAATGCCCTACGTGGTGGGCCCACCCAGGCCCAGGAGAGTGTGGAGGGGAACACAAGTGTGTCATATGGGTGTGTTCACCACTCCTGTTCCCTCTGTCTCATCTTTGACCACATTCTCTTGACAGGCCATATGGCCTGGGAGTGACCTGGAATATAGCAAGAGCATTGGCTTGTAGAACCCTTGCAGACCAAGGGAGCATTGGCAGAGTGGGATTTTTAGACTTGTTAACTCATTTAACATGTATTTATCAAGGATGTGTAATATATTAGGCTCTGTGGTAGGTGCTGGGGATCAACAGTGAATGAAAAGCCAGGCCTAGTGGGGAGGAAGACAGATGAATAGGCAATTATGATACAGCATGAATCAGAAAACCTGGATCCAAGGTCTCTAGTTAATGCTCCATTACCTTGGGCAAATCATGCCACTTGTTGGAGCCTCAGTTTCTGAACGTGCAAATTACGGATATCCTGAGGTTAAATGACATGGATGCATATCAATGCTATCAGTAGTTATGATTCTTTCTTACCCATTAACGTGAACTGACCTCACTGGCATAAAGTTGTTCCTCTAACCCCTCCAAGGACTTAGAGACGAAAGAGACCAAGGAGAAGAAATCTGACCTAGTGTCTAGTATTTAGTGGTCTGAAGTACAGAAATTAAGTCGCTGCAACAAGTATTTCTAGAGAAAAAGTCATCTGCCTTTTATCAAGAGAAAATGTCTATATTTTCACCGTTTACTGAAAAATAGGAATACTGTACTGTGCATTACCTTTTATTGTACTCTCTTATTTTAATGCAGTTAGAGAATACATGGAGTAGATCTGTGATGAACAGATGTTTTTTAGGCTTCAAAGCTATTATTTTGGATGTTACTCTTCAGGGAAGTAACAATGCAAATTAATTTGGGGATGTCATTGATATATCAGGCCTTAAGAGAAATGCAGTGGTATAGGTTAGAATCCGACTGAGCTCTGATATTAGAAAATCCAAAATAACATGGGTTTAAACAATAGAGAAGTTATTTTATCTCTCACACACACAAAGGCCAGCCAGAGCTAATAGGGTGGCTAGCTCCTTGATGATCAGGTACTTTGACTCCTTGTTGCTCCACCAACCTCAAAAAATGACTTTCACCTTAGAGTCCAAGGTGGCTTCATCCCAGTCAGCAGCAGGAAGGTGGACATGAAGAAGGCAAGCCCCCTCCCTTTAAGGAAACTCTGCAGAAACCAAAACCTAGTCACAGAGCGATACCCCGCCGGCAGCTGTAGTCTTTACGCTGGTATCCATCCGCTCAGCTAAAATCCAGGCTTCTGCTGCTAAGGAAGATGTTGGGGGACCACCAGTCTCTGCGTAGAATGTCTAGGCCCAGGGCTTCCTTCTTGACACATGTTATCATGGATGTGTTGGCAACATAATCCCTGTCATTGGTCTGAATAATGTTCACTGTCCCCTTTTGCTGATTTTATGGTTTTAAGCACTATAGTCAGTGGCGGGATTCTGTTTTGGAACCGCTCGGCATATTGCCACCACTTGCTTACTTTTAGTTGCGGCTGCCGATAGGTAACTTTCTGCTAGGGGTGGGGAGGTGTGAACAAAGAAGGTGGGTGAGGCGGGGGGATAGAGGTGTCAGGAGCCTGCCTGGGGAAGATCTTGTGGATTGTGGAGGATACCACTGGTACCACCTGGCAGCATTCCCTTTGTGGGATGGGTCCTCGGGTGTCACGCAGGCCATGTGAGCGGGTCTTCTGCAGAACTTCATTTTTCCCCTTGGAGCATGGGTTGAGAAATGAGACAGAACATACTGGAGGAAAAGTGGAAGCCCTGGTTCTTCCTGGCCCTGTTACCATGTAAACCAGGCTGGGGTGTGGGGAAGGGGGGGCCACTGCAGAGGCCAGGATCTGCCTTTTTACAGCTTCTATGCAGAGCAGGTCATCCTGAGGGGTAGAGTCAAAACTACAAGCAGACCCCACACACAGCAGAGAAGGCCCTGCTCAGCTAGAGTCCAAGGACAATCTCCGAAGATAAGTGTGGAGAGACTTAATTACCATGTCAAGTTGTCCTGGCCTGACCTCTCCGCCTGGTAAACTCTGCTCTGAGCCTTACCCTGTGCTCATGCTAACGGGCTCCATTCTTTTTGCCAAGCCTAGGAGGATACTTAGCAGCACACATAACCTTCCAGGTGTGGGGGGTTGGAGGTGGAAAGGGCCTGTGGATCCCCAGTCCCACCGAGGGTCCCCTCTCAGGACGCTGCTTGGCTTGGAGCAAGTCTGAGCATGGAGGCTACAGGCAGAGTGTTAATGCCAATGTGTGGGGAGGAGGGTTCCTTCCCTGCAGAAACATCTGGAGTGACACCGAGGAGATACTTATACGCATTTACACGAGCCCCGGGGGATTCCCATGCCTGAGAGAACTGGCTGCATAGTTCCTATTACACATTTATTTCCTCAAAGGAGGTATTTTATATTCTACCCTGTAATTCAATTCCTTTGTCTCCCCGCCCTGCTTTAAAAGAAAAGAACATGCAATCCAAACAATTTTTAAAACCAAAAGTTTTTAGAACTAAAGTTTTTAAAACCAATTTTTTCCCCTCCAGATAGTTAATGTGCACAATTTGTGCAGCTTTTACTCACATCTGTAAGCTATGACTTGTTTATACCAGCCCTTAACAATATTTTAAAAATAAAGTATAGTGTTTTTCAGTCTGTATACAATAGCATTTTCTTTTTATCAACCCCCCACATACAAATGTATTTCCCCCTTTTAGGGAGTAATTACACGTCTAAATCATAATGTATACAACTGATGTACAGGGAGGACATCTATGTTTTACAGCAAACATCCCGAAAGGATGTAAGATACTCATGTTGATTCTTTAAAATACAGTAACTAATAACCTGCAGAGTTAGAAACGGCCACCGAGGTTGGTTTGATCCTATTGTCTGTGCTGGGATTGGAGAGTTTTAGGGTCATGGAGTGAGAAAAAATTTTAGAGACAATATAATCCAGTCCTGCCGTTTTACCTAATGTGGCCACAGAAGCTCAAGAGGAAAGTACTTTTCTCAAGCTGGCTGACTTCCACAACCCAGAGCCCAGACTCCTGATTTCAAGGGAGGGCTCTGTGATATCTCACAGTCTCACCTAGATTTAAGCTGGAATTTCCCTCCAGGAAAAGGTGTTGAGTGGGTCCCGGCAGCCTGTGTGCTATAGACCCACAGCCTCCGAGTACCAGAACGCCAGCCTCGGACATCCTTCAGGATTCAGCTTTTCAAAAAGTAGTGGGAGAACTGGCAGCTTTGGTCTCGCCTGGGGGCCGGTTAGGGACACAGCCAGACCTGCTGAATGAGAACCTGCATTTTCACAAGATCCCTGGGTGACTTGCCTCTACTGCCAGATTGTTTCCTTGAAGACCTGTTTAATTATTTCCTCTGGTGCATTAAGAACCTGTAATGGCTTCCTATTGCTTATCTGTTCC